CTACTACTACTACTACTACTTGTAGTGCTAGTAGTATGCGAATTAGTAGTAGGAGTGCGAATTCGTGTTCCAGGCTGGTTTTGAGATTGACAAGGCTCGCGCGAACCATGAGAAGAGTACTAGGATGATGGTCGTGACGATGGTCGTGTTTATCGGCATGGTGACAGCTTTTCGTTGTTGTCGGGATTCGCCTATGCATCAGCATCAGCGCGGCATGCATGTTCACTGCATGATATGGCGGTCGCCATCACCATTTTCTTCATACCGTTTGAGGCAGCTGCATATAAAGCACCAAGTTTAAGCGAAATTCTGCAGATTCCTGCTGCACAGTGATGAGGGAACGACCATGATCTTGAATTCTGCCCGAGCCCTCCCATCCAAATCCCCAGCCTCGTGCATGTGCTCGGTGTTTTGCACGAAGATAGGGGCACAAGTCGGACAGCTGCATGTCACTAGACTAGTTTCAAAGGTAAAGCCCTTCTGAAAGCGCATGTTGGGGATTGGACCGCTTCCTACTCCAGTATCAAGCGTTCTGAGCCTCTGTATGTCTCTAGACTCTAGATACCGGGAATAGCGACTCCTTTGTGAGTGTTCCCCATGGCGTTTGCAGCTCCGCCATCCCGTTCTGGCAGGCGAGGTGTTGTGCGCGAGCGGCTGCAATTTTCACCGGGTGTACCAAGCTGCTGACAGGCTCGAGAGGACTTCAAAGTCCCTGGAGACGCGGCTGAGACACCTGAGCCAGCTGCAGGAGCGGTCCAAATGCTTGGGTCATGTTGAATACATGCACGTAATGCGATCGCGTGTGCAGACGTGACATCCAAGCAGGCGCACGTTTCGGTGGAGGCGCCGCTGGGCGGCAGGGACAGGGCCGCTGCAAGTGCCCTTGGCGGCGTACTGCTCTGCAAGGACGGTGTTTCATGTAAGCGCTGCGCTGCCAAGAAGGCACATAGTTTGCGGCAGATCCGTACAGGACCGCACCGCGGACTATGTGGCAGTGAAAGCCATTTCCCTGAAAAAGGTGGCATCACAACGTTCCACGAGTGCTTGTAAACTGTGCAAAGCGTTCTGTCATGTTCTGTCTAAACGAGTCTAAACTCACTGGGTGGTGTCACATGTGTAGACACCTGTGTGCTAGCTGGGCTGACGTCTCTGAACCGAAGGCGCAGGCGGCAGGAATCGAAGAGAGCAGAATCTGGCGGGAGGTGCAGGCCGGAACCTTTGCTGGAAAAGCATTGATGCAAATACTGTTACTATTACGAAATACTACTCATAATAAGTCTAACACATAGGCTCCGAACGGTGCAAGACCACACAAAAGACCTCTGGAAGACCAATTCAGGGCCACATCCCGACCCCAAACCCAAGACCCCAGCAATCAAATCCTCATTAGTTCTGAACGTAAGAGTCCCACTGTACTACAACAATGCAAACATAAACCAATGCAATGCACCAAAATGTTGTTGTAATTTACTGGCATCGAAGATGACTTAATCTTAGTCTAAAGTTATAGTAACATACGATAAGGGTTGACATGTAGCTGTTGTGAAACCTATGTATGCATGTAGGTGGGTAGGTCGGCAGGTATGTAAGCCTCAGTGCATGTGACATGACAAGTCGTTTTTCGCTTATCTACTGTGAGATATATGGTGTCACAAAGTCTAGTAAAAACACAGCATAGTCCAATATGGTTTGGACAAGCATTGCTATATAACGCGATGGAGCAACATGTCGAGCTGTATACAGAGTAATCTGATGCATTCAGAATACACACGGAAACAAACTCCACAATAACAGAAGTGGGGAGTGTGCAGGACTAAGGATAAAGTACCAGCACCACTGCCAAACAAGAGAAACACTCAGAATACAACGATCCCGGGCACACGCGACAGCAGTCATAGCAATAATAGCGACCATCATGGTACTAAGAATAACCCTCGAAGCTATAATGCAACAGCAGCAGTAATAGTCGTCGTGGTAGTGGTGATTGCGGTAGTCGCAGCAGCAGCACTATCACCACCGCCGCCGCCGCCGCCGTGGTGGTGGCAGCAGTCGTCGCAGTGGTGGTAGTCGCAGTTGTAGTGGCAGTCGTGGTGGTGGTGGTGGTGGTGGTAATGGTGGTGGTGGTGGTGGTTGTGGTGGTGGTATGTGGTGGTGGTGGTGAAAAACCGGCACGAAAATACAGATGACAAGCAGTGTACCGGTAACAATAGTAGGAGTACTGAGATTACAGCCACAGGTTGTTTGGAGCTGGTTTTTGCGACATGTGTGCAGCAAAACTTTCTGAGGTCATGAAGGAGGTGCAGCATCCAAATCTTCCGCGCCTCATCGATGTCAGGGACCAAAAAGTGCGAAGCATGCCGGGTGAGCCAACCAGCGACGGTCAGCTCGCAGCGTGAAGCTTGCGTTTACCTGCGTAAGAAAGAGTTGACATGCCAATTTCTGCATTGCAAATGTCGTGTGAAGTTGAACCGCTTGGGTCAAGGTAGTGGCCAACTGGGAGAAACTCCCGCAGCTGGACGCAGCTCCTCCCCATCTCTGTCTGATCATGGAGCCGAAGCCTGGGTTCGGCGTTCGCACAGCCGGGTCAGGATCCAACACCCTGTGGACATGCTCAGGTTCGTTCAGAAGTCCGAGCCGCTGTCTGTTGCCGTGCGGCGGCAAGGAGCAATGCCTCACAGAGCAGCTGCTCGGCAGAATGGGCCCCTCACAGAGAGAGAGGTGAGGGCATGAAGGGCTTCGTGTCTGAAACCCGTCGGCGCTAGGCACTGGTCGTAGCGCAGCTTGCATCCGCGCTTTGTAAGTCGTGAGCTTAGTCTGGCAGTTGGAGTGCGAAAGCTGCAGTTTGCTTGGGTCAGAAGTTGGAACTGGGAGCTATGTTTGAGGTTACATCGAGCGAACATCATTCACAGAGATGTCTCGTCCCCGGTACGTAGTCCGCGGGTGCTGCATTTCAGTAGGAGTGATGCATGAGTGGTACCGGCAGCGACAGATATGCAGATCCGCTTCAGCGTTGTCGTTTTGAGCCTCTCCGACCCGATGGAGCTGCAACCGGCAATGTGGAATCGTGTAGACTGGGAAGGTGTCGTGCCAGAATGTTCTGATCGGCGAGCGCGAGAAAGTTGTGCCTTGGCTGGAATGTTGGTCGAATGGTTTGTGGAAATGTTATGCGAGTACCAAGACGAACTGTTCAGAACTGTGTCAAAGCACTTTTCGTCTCTGGTCTAAACAGGTGCTTATCAATTTCGGCAGCGCCGAGTACTTGAGCAGCAGGCACTGACGAGCAATGATGTGTTGGATGATTTCGCAGCAGAGGTTTTGTGACCGGCGGACACTGTTTCGGGTTTCGGTCTAGGCCTAGGGCTTCCGCACGGAGTCGGAGGCCAGCTGCAAACTCCAAGCTGAGCATCCCCTATGTGTCGCCAGAGGCTGCGGCAGGCCACATACGACTTAGATGCGGGTCTCGGGACTTGAGGTGGTCACACCGTTGTGCCAAGCTTCGAAGCGTGGAACTGCATGTTGAGCTGCAAAACTTCGTAGCCCTCCAAGTGACTCCAAGTATCAGGTTTGCCGTCGGCAGAGGTTTCTGTAATTTGGGGCCCCATGAGACCCGCTCGGCGATGCAGTGCGGCACATCAAGCCCTTGCCTCATCCCGAAGAACAGTTTTGTCGTTACCGGTGGCTCCCATGTCGAATCGATTTAGCTGTGCTGGATTGCTACGGTCGTTTGCGAGGAAGGTGCACGAGTTCCGCCATGTGCTGTCGACCGTGTGCGGTTGAAGGCAATCGCACGGATGGACAGGTTACTGGTGCCACTACAATGTCACTACAGAATTCGTGATCTGAATCCTGAATCCCGATCCTGATCCTGACCTATCCTAGGCTATCGATCCCCTTCCTATCCCCTATCCCATCCCCTATCCTATCCCCTGCCAGCGCCTCGCCCGCAGCAGCTGGCAGCCGAAGAACCTCCAACCCCACTACTGGGCACCGCGCGGCACCACAACCGCACTGTGATAGCACTGACAGCTCCAAAGCAAGGGCAGCACGGAAATCACTATGGTGCGGCTAAGCAGCGTCTACGAATGGACTCGCACGTTTTCCTTGATTACTGTACGAGCTGCGGAGTCGCTCGTCTTGCATCTGCGATGCTCGCAACTTACCTTGCACAGAGGAGCAGCACAAGCTTCGCTTGCATCCCATCACCTATCCCCCACCCCTTGTCCTATCCTAACCTATCCTACTTGTATCCTATCCATCATCACCAACAACAACAACATCAACATCAACACCAGCATCAACATCAACGCCATCATCAACATCATCATCATCATCATCATCATCACCAGGCTTCCCCCTGAACCGGAGTAGAAGATCGTGGTTCGACGGCATGATCACAGATCGATGCTGTGCAGAGGAGGTGCCAGGCTGTATGACTAGAACACTTGGCAGGCATGCCACAGCAAACCGGCGACGATGCGTGGGCCCGGGCCTCAGTCTTGTCGTGCGAACATCCAGTGAACGTTTGCTCTCAGGCTTCTTGGTACAGCTGTGTAGATGCATGTTGTTGCAGGGGCTTGGCCTCTTGCTGACGGAGATCGTCACAGGCTGAGCCCAATCCTTCAAAGACTTCATCACGTGGGCTCGTTAGATTCGGCTGACACTTGCCATCTGTTGCGATGACGCGCGGGTGCGTGCTTTCTAACTTCTTGCGTGTCATCGTCTTGGCTAAGATGCTTGGAGCTTTAATCTGGGCAGGCCGCTTCATCGCAGATCGCCTTGGCCGATCAGATGTGTGGGTGTCTCAGCCCCGAGCGACTTGGGGGCTTTTCTGGTCGCTCCATTGCACTTGCCTTCCTGCGCCCCGGGGACCATCCTGCTCTGGACTTCGGGTCTCGCCAGGCCCATCCACGTGCAGCGACCGACCCTGACAACCGCAATTCAGGAAACCGCCGCTGGTGCAGGGTCCCCGGACAAGATCCGTTTCGCTTGGTGCATTGGTTTCACGAACGTTATCCGTTGTCCCGCAATGAAGATACTCCACTTGAGTACATTGTGTCGGTCCGTTTTTGGGAAAGTCGGTGGCAAAAGCTACGAATTGTTTCAACATGTATGCCGAGAGCATGGGCGGCGGGTGTTGCGGCAGCAGTGTCAGCAGAAGAGTGTGTCATGAGGATGGTGACGATGATGAGGAGTAGACGGAGCGGAATTGACACCGAGTTTCGGTGTTAGTGCTGCTGCCACTGCTGCTGTGGGTGTGGCTGAAGGTTCTTATGCCGGGTTGTCGAAGTCGCCATTGTACTCGTCGATCTCCGCTGCCGCCCCGCCGTGGTCGTCGTCGTTGTGTCCTCGACTTGTTCCGACGCTACTCATGCAATGTCTGCTCATGCTCCGGTGGTTTCATGGATGAGCTGGGAGAGTTTTCGAGTCACTTTGCATTCACTTCCAGGCTGCACCAGCCCTCGCCCGGCTCGCCTCACAGGCGCTTACGTTCGTAGATCGAGTCGGACAACTGCGATTACGCGACAATATGGGCTGACGGATCTGACCTGCAATCTGCCCACCCGAACTCGAAAGCCTAAGCTCTGCTGAACCTCAGACGCGGGGTTCCTAACCACGGGCAGTTGTTGGACCTCAGCGCCGCCAGAAGGCCAGCAATGGTGAGGAGCTCAGGCCAAAGAATTGGGATCTCTTAGATCCCGAGTTTAAGGTGCTTCGAAAAGCCTCACAGGTTCGCGTCGCAGACTTGAGAATTACGATGCTCATGTAAGGTGCTGTGCAATTTCAGGGCCATGACTATGATAAACCAGGCCGAACACATGACGACGACCTGCAGGTCGTTGGCTACTACTAAACCTCCCATCGTTGTTGCTACTAGTTACTAGTTTCTACTGTTGCCACTACCACCACCCAGCCGACAACAGCCAATGCAACAGAAGCAACAAGCAGCAGCAGTGATCTGAAACCTAGTAAGGCTCATGATCATCGAAGTTTTTTACTAGTACCAGCGCGAGGAGCTGCAACAGTGTGGCAGTGATGCTAGTGTCGTCGCTTCGTGGCCGCCGTCCTCTTCGTCCTGGTCCTTCGTGTCGTAGTCTTCGTGTCTTTGTCTTTATTATAAAGCACAATTTACATGCGATGCATCCATGCAGCCGCTTCGTCGTGCTGGGCACTGAGCCTGTTGGCTGAAGATTCACACTCACAAAAGTA